CGGTGATCACACCACTGCATTTCAGCCTTGATGACAGTGTGAGAACTTGTCTCAGAAAAAAAAATAGCTTTTAAAAAAAGTTTTATGTTCAGAGGTACATGTACACGTGCAGGTTTGTTATATAGGTAAATTGTGCCACAGGGGTTTGGTGTACAGATAATTTAATCACCTATGTAATAAGCATAGTACCTTATCCTTTCCCTCTTCCCACTGTCCACCCTGAAGTAGGCCCCAGTTTCTGTTGTTGGCCTCTTTGTGTACACGTGTTCTCGTTGTTTAGCTCCCACTTGTAAGTGAGAACATGCAGCATTGGTTTTCTGTTCCTGTGTTGGTTTAGGATAGTGGCCCTCCAGCTTCATCCAAGTTGCTTGTTGCTGCAAAGGACATGATCTCGTTCTTTTTTATAACTGCATAGTATTCCATGGTGTATATGTACCACGTTTTCTTTATCTAGTCTACTATTATGAGCCTTGAGGTTGATTTCATGTCTTTGTGAATAGTGCTGCAGTGAACATGTGTATGTGTCTTTATGGTAGAATGATTTATATTCCTTTGGGTAACCCAATGATGGGATTGCTGGATCTAATGGTAATTCTATTTTAAATTCTTTAAGGAATTGTTGCACTGCTTTTCACAATGGTTGAACTAATTTACACTCCCACCAGCAGTATAAGTGTTCCCTTTTCTTCACAACCTTGCCAGCATCTGTTATTTTTTTGCCTTCTTAATAATAGCTATTCTGACTGGTGTGAGATAGTATGTAATTTTAGTTTTGATTTGCATTTCTCTAATGATTAGTGATGTTGAACATGTTTTCATATGCATGTTGGCTACATGTGTGTCAAGAAATAGCTTTTTAATATATTTATTGGGTAGCTGTTCATATTGAATTGAAAATATTTGTAATTTGCCTTACAGATTCTGATATATAGTAAGTTTTCCACAGATGTTAATTTTTTTTTTTTTTTTGGTGGTTGTTCCTGTTTGAAAGCTCTCCACATAGGAAGAGAATTGTCTCCCATTTGGAAAGACAATTTTAATGGAATATAGTATCTTTATCCTGTGTCTAGGAATTACTATTTTAGTTGAGTTTCAGAGTAGAATATAAATGAGAGTCTGTTGGTTTATCTACACCATTTTCATTTTGCATTTTCTTCCCACCTTGGGTTAGTTGAGGTGAGAATGAGTCTCGGCCACATTTAAGAGCTATGGTAGTCTGATACTGACTGACTCTTCTTACATCACACCCTTGTTGTCGGGGAGGATAGTCAAAGAATTCCGAGTTGTCCTTTCCCTTTGGGTGAACTAAATTTGTCTTTATGGATATGGATTATAATCATTTAATATTAAAACATTCTGAAACATGTCCTAGAACTTGTGCTTTTTGCAGTGCCCAATGTGACGATCTGAAATCGTAAGTAATCTTTTATTATGTTTATTGGGTAAAAAGTTGGCAATAATGTTACTCTGCTAAATGCAGAATTTTGTAGATGATCTAGTTGTGAATACTTTTTTTTTTTTGAGACGGAGTCTTGCTCTGTCACCCAGGCCAGAGTGCAGTGGTGCGATCTCGGCTCACTGCAAACTCTTCCTTCTGGCTTCAAGTGACTCTCCTGCCTCAGCTTCCTGAGTAGCTGGGATTACAGGCGCAAGCCACCACACCCAAGTAATTTTTTTGTATTTGTAGTATAGACAGGGTTTCACCATGGTGGTCAGGCTGGTCTCGAACTCCTGACCTTGTGATCTCCTCACCTTGGCCTCCCAAAATGAATATATTGTTAAAAATTTGGTATTTCATAAATTCTCTTCAGTATTATTACTTTATGACCCCCCATTCCTAGACAGTTGCTGCAAACTGCAAATTTTCTATTTAGATTCTTCACTAAATACTTTTAGTTACATAAAAGTTGAGTTTGTTTCTTGATAGGTTGTTAAAATTAGCAGCTGAACAATATTAACATTATTAATGGAAAACAGATTTAGAAAGTTTGCTTCCTTTTCTTGTTCAACAGGTTGGCTTAATGGCTTTAATTTTATGGTGATAAGAAATACTTATACACATATTTTAATAGGTATATTTTGTAAAGAAGCTACTTGGTTTCAGATTTTTCTTTTATTTGGTACTTAAAGTAGGTAAAACAAGGTGATTTGTAAATTCAGCCTCAGAGTTAAATTGTACTGACCTTAGCTTTTAATTTGTACTACTTCTTCTCTTCTAAAGTTTATATAAATTATGGAAACTCATTCTTAAAGTAAATCTCAACTGCATTTTAGAAATTGGAGGCAGAGGATTTGTTCTTTCCAGCTGACTAGTCCAGTGCAGATGGTTTCTAGTTGTATTCAGGTGCAAAGAAATGTACATACTGCCTTTTGATGTTCTGTAACATCCTTTGTCATGTTTCCTTCCTTGTGTGTGTTTATTCTCTTATGACTAGTAACATTACACTATATGGATTGAAGTGGAGACCCCCCATGACTCAAGGACCACTCAGATAAAAAGGAAGAAAGACAATAAAAAAAAAAAAAATCAAGGACCAAGCATTTGAAAATAATGCAGTTGAATATGAGTGGTAGGGAGTTGTATTTAATAGATGTGAGATTGGTAGGCAGGGGTCAAATAATTCATCCAACAGATATTGAGTATGTATGTATTGTCTTTAGTAGGCTTTGGTGATATGAGAAGAACAAGACATGCCCTGGAGCTTATACTGTAGCTCAGAATGTAGCATTAAAGAAATAATTTCAAGTTAACAGGGTGCCATGGAAATGATTGTGGGGAGTGTTTGTGCATGTGGCGGAGGTGTCAGAGAGCTTCAACATATTTAGAGGGCCTAGAGGTGAGTGGCTTTCCAAGAACTAAACAAAGAAGGGCAATGTGGCTAGAGTTGGTGTTGGTGGGGATCAAAGTGGGGAGATGTTGGAAGGCAGCACAGCAAGCAGATTTTGGAGTACATTTTAAGGCAGGTTGAGGCAGGTTTTTCTGAGACAGGGTCTAGCTTTGTTGCCCGTGCTAGAGTGAAATGGAGTGATCACAACCCACTGTAGCGTCAGTTCCCAGACTCAGGTGATTTTCCTGCTTCAGCCTCCTGAGTACCTGGGACCACAGGCATGTGCCACTGTACTTGGTGATTTTTTTTTTTTTGTAGAGATACAGACTGCATTATGTTGCCCTGGCTGGTCTTGAACTCCTGGGCTCAAGTGTTTCTTCCATCTTGGCCTCTTAAAGTGCCAGGATTACAAGCTTGAGCCACTGCACCTGGCTTAATTTTTCTTTTCTGTTAATGCTTCCCAGACTGATCTCGAACTCCTGACCTCAAGTGATCCTCCTGCCTGGGCCTCCCAAATTGTGGGAATTAACAGGCATGAGTGACCATGCCCAGCCAAGTTGAGAACATTGGACTTTATCTCCAAAGCAGTGAAAAACCCTGCAAGAAGGGGAAGCAAGATAGTTAAGAAGGGAAAGCAGTTATCCGATTTGCATTGTTGAAAAGCAAAGGTCTATTGAGTGCAATTAAGGAGATTAGTTTGGAGGCTACTGGCAGTTTGAACTAGAATGGTGCCAATAGGGGTGTGGAAAAATGACTGATTTGAAATACACTTAGGAGATGAAATGGATAAAATAGAGATTAGATGTGGAGGAATAACAGAGAGGAATGAGTCAGGATGATAATGTTAAATATGTGCTAGACACTATCACTTTACATATATTAAATCATTTAATTCTCAGAACAACCCCACGAGGTAGGTATTGCTATCACCATTGTGTAGATGAGGAAACAGACATCCCTGATTTTTTTTTTTGAGACAGGGTATCACTCTTTCACCCTGGCTGGAATGCAGTGGGGCGATCACGGCTCACTGCAGCCTCCATCTCTGGGCTCTGGTGATCCTCTCACTTCTGCCTCCTGAATAGCTGAAACTACAGGCATGCGCCTCCATGCCTAGCTAATATTTTTTTCCTGTGTTTTGTTTGTTTTAGAGATGGTTTTACCGTGCTGCCTAGACTGGAGCTCCCTGATTTCTGGCTTGAGGAATTGGATGAGTGATGGCATCTTATAATTAAAATAGAAAACTGAAGGTGGGGTGGAGGCTCATAAGTTTAATTCTGAATCTATTGAATATAAGTTGTTTGTAAAATAGCCTAGTTGCAGTGTTCGGTAGTCATTTGGAAATAGGGTTTGGAGTTCAAAAGAGAGAATTCTGGGTTAGAGATAGAGATTTTAGTCTTTCACAGATGACTAATCATGAGGAGTAATTATTAAAAATGGGGAAGTATAGAGCAAAGGAAGAGTGATTACTGTGGAGCCCTAAGGCATCTGAGGGTCACATGGTTGAAAATGGAGAAGATAAATATGAAATGGCTTGCATGCTATGTCAGATGTTTGGACTTTATTCTGGAAAAATAGCTTTCTGTTTAATCTCTGGGCTTATTGAGCTGGAGGTGTCTGTGGGATATACAGGGACAGAAAGCTGGACTGTTCTTACTTCCTTTCCAAATATTTTTCTAAGAATAACTTCCCTGGGTTTTTCAGAAGATACTCTAGCTTTCTTATCATCCTGGTTACTTTTCTTTTAATTTTAGTATTTTTAGAGACAGGGTCTCACTATGTTGCCCAGACTGGTTTTGAACTCCTCAGCTCAGGAGATCCTCCTGCGTTGGCCTCCCAAAGTGCTGTAATTAAAGGCTTGAGCCACTGTGCCTGGCCCATCCTGGTTACTTTTTTCTCTTAAAATGTGGTCGATTGCTGAATGCATTTTATGTATGACCTGAGCAGAGTGGATAATCGTCACTTTGTCTAGCACATTCTGTACTCTGTTTCTATGAATATAGGTCAAGATTGAATTAGTTTTTGAGTAAGAGGAGAACATGTTTCTTTTATCAAGTAAAAGGGGTGTGTGTGTGTGTGTGTGTGTGTGTGTGTGTGTGTATGTGTGTGTTTTAAATCTAAGCCTTGTATCTCTTATTCTTGTGGTCTAATTCTTCCTTTCTCTAAATGTAGGTATGGCATCACAGTTGCAAGTGTTTTCGCCCCCATCAGTGTCGTCGAGTGCCTTCTGCAGTGCGAAGAAACTGAAAATAGAGCCCTCTGGCTGGGATGTTTCAGGACAGAGTAGCAACGACAAATATTATACCCACAGCAAAACCCTCCCATCCACACAAGGGCAAGCCAACTCCTCTCACCAGGTAGCAAATTTCAACATCCCTGCTTACGACCAGGGCCTCCTCCTCCCAGCTCCGGCAGTGGAGCATATTGTTGTAACAGCCGCTGATAGCTCAGGCAGTGCTGCTACATCAACCTTCCAAAGCAGCCAGACCCTGACTCACAGAAGCAACGTTTCTTTGCTTGAGCCATATCAAAAATGTGGATTGAAACGAAAAAGTGAGGAAGTTGACAGCAACGGTAGTGTGCAGATCATAGAAGAACATCCCCCTCTCATGCTGCAAAACAGGACTGTGGTGGGTGCTGCTGCCACGACCACCACTGTGACCACAAAGAGTAGCAGTTCCAGCGGAGAAGGGGATTACCAGCTGGTCCAGCATGAGATCCTTTGCTCTATGACCAATAGCTATGAAGTCTTGGAGTTCCTAGGCCGGGGGACATTTGGACAGGTGGCTAAGTGCTGGAAGAGGAGCACCAAAGAAATTGTGGCTATTAAAATCTTGAAGAACCACCCCTCCTATGCCAGACAAGGACAGATTGAAGTGAGCATTCTTTCTCGCCTAAGCAGTGAAAATGCTGATGAATATAATTTTGTCCGTTCATATGAGTGCTTTCAGCATAAGAATCACACCTGCCTTGTTTTTGAGATGCTGGAGCAGAACTTATATGATTTTCTAAAGCAAAACAAATTTAGCCCACTGCCACTCAAGTACATTAGACCAATCTTGCAGCAAGTGGCCACAGCCTTGATGAAGCTCAAGAGTCTTGGTCTGATTCACGCTGACCTTAAGCCTGAAAACATCATGCTGGTTGATCCAGTTCGCCAGCCCTACCGAGTGAAGGTCATTGACTTTGGTTCTGCTAGTCACGTTTCCAAAGCTGTGTGCTCAACCTACTTACAGTCGCGTTACTACAGGCAAGTGGCAAATGCTGAAAAAGCGTATCTTAGCTAGAGTTCTGTCCTTATATTTAACATATACCCCATAGACTACCTGTAGCAATGAATTCGTTTATAGATTCTAAGGTAGAACTAGGATATGTTTTAGCTCAGTCTATGTGTATGGCATTCTGATACATGACATTTTCTTATTTTTGAAAATTTATCTAGCACTGGAAAAATTGTCTCAGTCTGATTCTGAAGGTTGTTACTGGTTGAATTATACTAGCACCTGGTTCTTTCGTTAGTACCATTATACCTCATTTTCCTTATTTGTTTATTTATTTTTCGAGATGCAGTTTTACTTGCCACCCAGGCTGGAGTGCAGTGGTGTGATCTTGGCTCACTGCAGCCTCTACCTCCTGGGTTCAAATGATTCTTCTGCCTCAGCCTCCTGAGTAGTTGGGACTACAGATGCCCACCACCATGCCTGGTGAATTTTTTTGTTTTTAATAGAGATGAGTTTTCACCATGTTGACCAGGCTGGTCTCAAACTCCTAACCTCAGGTGGTCCTCCTGCCTTGGCCTTCCAAAGTGATTACAGGCATGAGCCACCATGCCTGGCCGTTTTCCCATTTTAAAGAGTCTTGAAATACACAAAGATATTTACTTATTTGTAATGAATGTGAGCATATGCTGCTGTTTTTTCCTAGTTCTTCTCTTGGCAGGTAAAATAACTTGGGAATAACTCCAGGTTTAACTCTAATAACATTTTATTCTTTTACATTTTCTTCTATAGTAGCATAAATTGGATTAGATGATTGCTACAGTCTCTTCCTGTTTTAACATTCTCTAAATACTTTGAACTTATTTGGTTATCCTTGAATGGCGTTGACCCAAGTACCTTATACTTTAATGATACATATTTCTAGGTTGATACTTCTAATGTAGCTTCCGTTTTAATATATAATAATTATTGGGACAGTACTTAAATGTTGATATGTATAATTTTGTCTATATCATAACTAAGGCTTTTAAAATATGCTTTTGTCAGCACCCATTTACTTATCGAGTTATTATTTTAAGGAATCTGATATTTAGTTTTAATGACCATACATTATATACAAATCATGTAAGCATCCAATCAAGAAGTGAAATAATAAACACATAGATAACCTACAGAGTATGTTTATTAGGAGCTATGTCCCACATGCTACAGCCTGTAATAAAATTTGAGGAAATAGAAATTCTGAATTAAGAATTTTATATTATGTGTGAAAATAATGTGAGGATATTTTAACCCATACAGGGACTTAGAAAGTATGTCATCTACATGTTTCCTTTTTTAAAAACATTGTGGTAAGATCTTGATAATAGGAAGTTTACCATTTTAACCATTTGGTACCACTCAGTGTGTTAAATACATTCACAGTGTTGTGTAACCATCACCGCTGTCTGTTAAGTATATTCACAATGTTGTGTAACCATCACCACTATCTATTTCCAAATGTTTTCATCTCCCAAAACAGAAATTCTAACCATTAAGCAATAACTCCATTGTACCTTCTTCCTATCACTAGTAATCTCCATTTGACTTTGTCTCTATGAATTTGCCTGTTCTAGATAGTGCATGTAAGTGGAATCATACAATATTTGTCTTTTTGTGTCTAGTTTATTTCACTTAGCATAATGTTTTTGAGGCTAATCCATGCTGTAGCATGTATCAGAACCTCATTCCTTTTATGGCTGAATAATATTCCATTGTTTGTACGTACCACATTTTGTTTATCCATTCACCTGTTGGTAGATACTTGGGTTATTACTACCTTTTGGCTGTTGTGAATAATGCTGCTATGAACATTGGTGTACAAGTATCTTAGTCCCTATTTTCAGTTCTTTTAGGTATATAGCTAGGAGTGGAATTGCTGGGTCGCATGATAATTCTGTTTAACTTTTTGCGGAACTACCAAACTTTTCCACAGAGGCTACACTGTTTTACATTCCCACCAGCAGTGGATGAACTTCCAAATTTCTCCACGTTTTCTCTAATATTTGTTATTTATTTATTTATTTATTTAAAAACTGGGTTTCACCGTGTTGGTCAGGCTGGTGTTGAACTCCCCACCTCAGGTGATCAACCCGCCTTGGCCTCCAAAGTGCTTGGATTATAGGCATGAGCCACCATGCCCGGCCATTTGTTATTTTTTTAATTTAAAAAAATTGTTTATTTTTACAGGGGTAGGGTCTCCCTCTATTGCTCATGCTGGACTGCAGTGGCATGATCATAGTTCACTGTAGCCTCCAACTGCTGGGCTTTAGCAATCCTCCCACCTAAGCCTCCCAAGTAGCTAGGACTGCAGTCGCACACCACCATACCTGGCTAATCAATATTTTATTTTTTGTGGAGATGGGGTTTTGAGGGTCTTATCATTGCCCGAACTGGTCTCAAACAACTGGCCTCAAGTGATCCTCCTGCTTCAGTCTCCCAAAGTTCTGGGATTACAGGCATGAACTACCAGTCCTGCCCTTGTTTTGTTTTTTTTAAAAAATAGCCGTTCTTTTTTTCTAAAATGGAGTTTCGCTCTTGTTGCTCAGGTTGGAGTGCAGTGGTGTGACCTCGCCTCACTGCAACCTCTGCCTTGCAGGTTTAAGTGATTCTCCTGCCTCAGCCTCCCGAGTAGTTGGGATTACAGGTGCCCACCTCTTTAGTAGAGATGGATTTCAACATGTTGATCAGGCTGGTCTGAAACTCCTGACCTTAGGTAATCTGCCCACTTCAGCTTCCGAGAGTGCTGGGATTAAAGGTGTGAGCCACTGCGCCTGGCCAATAATCGCCATTCTTATGGGTGTGAACTGGTATCTCATTGTGGTTTTGATTCATATTTCCCTAATGATTAATGATGTTGAGCATTTGTTTTATTTTGTTTTGAGACAGTCTCACTGTGTCACCCAGGCTGGGGTGCATTGGTGTGATCATGGTTTACTGCAGCCTTGACCCCTCAGGCTCAAGCGATCCTCCCACCCACCTTAGTCTTCTGGATGGTTGGTGTTATGGGCACACACCCCCACACCTCGCTAGTGTTTTGTATTTTTAGTAGCGAATGGGGCTTCATGGTGTTGCCCAGACTGATCTCAAACTCATGGGTTCAACTGATTCATCCGCCTCAGCAACCCAAAGTGTTGGGATTACAGACATGAGCCACCATGCCTAGCCCAGCAATTTTTTTGTTTGTTTGTTTAAATGTGTTTGACCATCTGTATGTCATCTTTGGAGAAATGTCTATTTAAGTCCTTTCCTCATTTCTTGAATTGGGCTTTTTGTTGTTGAGTTGTATACTCTATATATTAAATTTTCATCCTTTCCTTGGGTTGCCTTTTTACCTGTTGATAGTGTTTAACATGGAAACGTTTTTAACTGTGGTGAAATGCAGTTTTTCTTCTTTTTCTTTTGTTGCTTGTGCTTTTGGTGAAATATCCAAGAAGTCATTGTTAAATCAAAGTCATATAGATTTTCCCCTATGTTTTCTTCTAAGAGTTTTATAGTTTCAGCTCTTATGTTTCAGTCTTTCATTCTTTGTTGATTTTTGTCTATGGTCCGAGGTACAAATCTAATGTAATTCTTTGGCATGTGACTATTCAGTTCTTCAAACACCATTTGCTGAAAAGACTGTCCTTTCTGCATTGGGTGGTTTTGGCACCCTTGTTGGAATCATTTGAACATATAGACAAATAATTCTTAACTTCTGTTGCTCTACCTTTTTCAGTTTTGGGCTCTCTATTCCATTAATCTGTGTATGTCTGTCCTTATGCCAGTACCACACTGTTTTTTTTTTTGAGATGGAGTTTTGCTCTTGTTGCCCAGGCTGGAGTGCAATCTCATCTCCATGTATTTATTTATGCCTTGAGAGATTTAGGTTCCAACTACATTTGCTTTTTAAAACTCTCCTTTGAGCAATCTCACCACCAGCCACACCCATACACATATGTAACATACTCTACATGTGCACTGAAGAGTTCAGCGCAGCATACCATTTTGAGTCCTCCGGAGGGACTAGGTAGACCACAGCTGAAGGAGGAGAGCTGATCAGCTCTTCCTTTTTGTCTTGACTCTGTGCTTGCAGGTGTTCTTTAACTATTTGTTTGCCCGATCAAAGGCAAAGTGCATTCTCTTGTGATAACAGAGCAGTTTTTAACTTGAAAAAGGGAGAGCAATAGGAGCTAAAAATTATTTGTCTTTTTTATAATTGGGGCATGTTAACACAAAATAAAAAGAATTATTTGGCTCCTTAGGTTTCTCTAATGTGTAATTCATTGACTAATTTTCAGTGTTAGGTTGCTGATCTTTGTATTCTTTTGTTATCCTTTTAATTTAAGCTGTCAATGGATTCATTTTGGTTTTGTTTTTATAGAAACTAAGATTTTCAAATCCTCAAAGTTATCCTTTGACAAAGCTTTCTTTAAATTCACTGCATATATTATAGTTGTTGACTATAATTTTAAGTAGAGCCAAGTTTGCCTGTTAAAAACAGGAGTTCATTCTTTGTATTACTGAGTAATTACTCTGTATACTGAAGTTCAGTATCCAGGACTTGACTGTGTTTAGGATTGAACATGAGTTTTCTGTGTGTCACAGTAATACTTGGTAATGAGCCTAAGGCAGATGGAATAGCAGCTCAGGCATTCCTTCTTTATCACTAGTTTTATCCGAAGTGGTCCTCTTAAGCTTCTTTCATGTTGCTTTGTTGCCATATTAGAGTCCATTAAGTCCTTACCCTTCTGTCTTTCAAAGAAAAGCCTCTGTGAAATTCTTTTAGCTGGTGAAGCATTCTGACTCCAAAGCTAGCCCTCCTCTTACTCTCCCTTTTAATTTACATTGCTTTGTCTTGCTGATAACATGCCAAAGTATTATCAGTTCACATAAATTTGCCACTCCGCTGTCTCCATTGGCCCTGGGCATGGCTAAATGATTGAGGCAGTGGAAATAATATACTTTATTCTCTGGCTCACTGTAAATGTATGCAGACTCCAAAGTTCCTGTC